TACAGTGCAGTTGACTATTTTTGATAAAAAAAGAGAATTTAATTTTCCCATTCTTGGTCTACCCACACCTAACAGTGTTACTCCATGTATCATATTAAAAAGTATTATTATATCTCAACTAAAGTTTTTTAATAGTCTGTAATAAAAATCATGGATAATGTTCTATTATTAAAAAAAACCTCAAAGATAAGGGCTATAAAGACAGGCAATTAAAGAAATACCTTACTTTATTTTTTAATAAATACAAAAGTATTTTAAAAACTAAATTATTGATTAAGGAAAATATCTTATACAAAATAAATAAAATAAAGAGGACATTAATTACTCTGATTTATAAGTAGTTAATAGCAATTTTTTTAAAATAATGTTATTCAGTATACTGGACACAAAGATTAACAAGTAACTGGGCTTGTCTCAGCATTCCCATGTTATACTTGAATAAATGTTCAAGAGAAAGAGAGTAATAACTTTTAAGGTAGGGTGTATAGTTCTATTTAATATCTTATAGGTCTGTTTAATATCTTTTTTGTAAGGATGGAGGTGAGGAGTTTAATTAGTAGAAATGTTAGGGTGGTTTCATTTCTACTTCAAGAAATTTAAGGGTAACTGCCTTCCCACGTATGGCTATAGACAATGAAAGGTAGTAAAAGCTGAGACATTGTGGGTGTAAGCACTCAGCTTCATACCCTTATTTGATTTTCCATGATGAATTACTAGATTAACAAGGTATTTGGATTTTGTCTGATAGATGGGATATCCCCAACACATTTGGTGTGCATTAACAACATGAAGTGGTTATAAAGGTGATGTTTATGTATGGACTCATGTTTTCAAGTAGATGATAACATCGGAAAGTGTTAAAAAATTTTAACCTCTTTATTGTTTTCACTTTTGTAATATTATGCATGAAGATACAACTGGTGGTTTTTACTGCAGGAAACATAGATACGTTCCACCTGTCACAAGACATAAGAAGCTTCAAATGTGGAAAGATCTAGCAGTGGAAGAGGAAACAATGATGTATTTAAAACACCCCTACTTAACTGAGGTTAGTAGTAAAATTTTTAGCTGCAACTCTATTTACAGTTTTGGACTCAGGAGGTTGAACCCTTCTGGCTGTTGTATTTGACCATGCCCAAGGTCTCATAGATTAATTTACTCTAATCCTTCCTGAAAGAATTTCAATTTGAGGGTAGGCTGGTAGAGATCCTGATGAGTAATAAAACCAAAATGGGTATATGCGCACCTCATGTTTGACATTGCTGGTGCACAAAAATATAGCTAATAAAAAGGGGGGGAAAAAGGTCTCTTAGATTAATATACTCTGATCCTGCCTTCAAGAATTTCAAGTGCTGTGGCTATTGAGGATTCCCTCTTGTTAAGAGTAAGTATATCTGTATGGTACTTTCTAGGGAAAAGCATCATAGAAGTAAAAATTGCTGTAGCCAAAGTTTACAAGAAACATGATATTGTTGTTACAACATTGAGGAAAACAATTTTATATTTCAAAAATATTTCATTTATTACTCTCGCGGTTTTTTCCAGTAAAGTCGTCATCAGGTACAGACTGAAATAGCTTGGAAACAGGTACAAAAATGTTCATCTAAAGAGCTGACAAGTTGAGCAAGAAGCGGAGAGGAGTTTAAATTGAAAATGGTCATTCATAACTTTGTCTGGTTTTGTTTTTAGACTTTATTTATTTCTAAGATTTCCAGGCTATTTAGTTTTTACCTTTTTCACAAACACATAAAATTTTGCATCTTTTTTATTTTCTTGGGACGAAATTTGTGTTTAGTTTTTGTAAGACAGGTTGCAAAAATTGTTTCCATTTTTCCCAATTTCCATATTCTTGAATGTTTATTAACTTTTTTTCTCTAGAAAATAAAAGGAAAACCTAAACAACAATTTTTAGCAACATTCACCCTTGAGTTCTTGAGAAGTGCATCATAAACCCTAGTTCCCCAGAGAAAACATTGTTAGAATAATTCTACTCCCATTATACCTTGAATACCAAGTACATACAAGAAATACAAAAAATTTCATCAGAGAGTTAGGAAATTAACAAACTCTTTTTTTTTTAAAAAAAAAAAGAGGGAACAAATAAATGATTATCACATTTGAACATAATCTTCAATTTTCAAGATACACTTGGCCAAAGGTTCAATAATATAAGCACTATGAGTGTGAATAAATAAAGTTTTATCTAGAAAAGAAATACACACTGTTCAGTTTTTTTCACCTTACAAAATAATAAAGTGTTAACAGAAAGAAGATGTGATATCTTCTTTCCTTAATTTTGTCAGTTTCTTTGTATGGCAACTGAGGGCAGGGTTACTTAGACAACTTCAATGTATGATTACATTAGCAAATATAAACGAATTATTAGCTTTGCTTGGAACCATAGTCAACGTTAAGCTGTGAAGATACTTACCAAAATGTCATGCCATCCACATCAAGAGACTAAATTCATTATGAAAGAAAGGTAAAGCAGTTTCTTGTGTTTTATCTCTGCACCAAACATCATGTATACAGCAACCTTCGACTCCTTCAGAAAAAACAATACATTTTCAAATATTTCATTTTAAGAATAAAAAAATATTCTTTGTGGATATGAAGGAAACACAAAGAGTGTGAATAAGTCAAACTAAACAAAAGAGAAATAGAAATTTCAAACATCTGTTTTTACTTTAAAATAAACATTGTATTAACAAAAACAGAATCAGCTCATAGTATCTACAGCCTTCTTAACCCTTTTGAACAAGGTGTCACTGATATCCTCTGACTTTTTTCCCCTTCTCACAAGGGAAATGCTTAACCAGATTATATGACTTAGCACAAACTTTCTAGGTAGTGTATAGTTTTGGCTTAAAATTTATATAATTTAAATTGATTTTACTGTCATTTTTTATGTTGTTGCCACATGTTTTTTTTTAAAAGCCTTCAAAGTACATCGTTTCATCTTACAATTTTAATTTTTTTATTGTTCATCAGAAAGTTCCATTTTTCATATCCAGTCACTTTCAACTTGATTGATTTTCAATAACAGAGTTCTTCTTAAACTTTATTTTGCTTATTGCAATAGCCATCACTTTTGGCCATAAATTGTAAAATCACCATATAATCTGATATACATTTATTGGTGACCTCAAACCCAACCTTACTTTGGGATGGGCAGAAAAATGATAAAAATTCAGTTAGTTTGGAGCTGTGCAGAAATGTAAGTTTGAACTATTTTTTTTACTTTTTTCTTTGTGAATTACTTTAAATAAATGTTATGAAATGACAAAATATCAAATCTAAAAAAATATATTTTTGTGTACAAAATTGAAAAGTAGTTAAAATTGTTATTTTTATTTAAATTGTGAAATTTTATATGCATTTGAAACCTGAAAGGTGCTATGGTCAGCTTCAATCACATAGGCAACTCTGAAAGAAATAGTGACTTTGCTTGGAACTATGTTCAGGTTTAGGGTCAGAAGACAAGTTTCATTATCAAAGAAAGGGAAAGCAGTGTTTCCTGTGTATTTGTCTGCACCTGTCCAGCTTGCCAGATGTCAGTAAAAAGTAATTAAGAACTTAACTACAGAGGTAGATACACCTACAGTTGCCCTGACAAAGATCAGCTGTCTACACACAGACTACCTGAACTAAAATTTTTGAAATTTACTTGAATAGATACATTAATTTTCTATCTTAGGAAAGCAGTTACAGCCATCATATGTACATACTACTAGCATAAATACATTTCTAATATATTGAAATTCAATATTTTGCTTATTACTGTTTATTGAAGTGAATTTGAGAAATAACTAGGATGAAAATTAAACTACCATTGTAAAGATATTTTATTTCAAATTGTGTAATCTGTGGTCTAAGTCACTGTGTTTGGTGGGTCATATCTGTAGAAAATATTAACAAAGCAGCACACCTAAGAAAAGCTGTGCCTGTAGGTAAATCTTCCAATAAGGATGAAACAAAAATGGTTAAAATCACTAAGGAAAAAGGAAATAGCTTTGACCAAACATACATTAGACAAATGATTAATGTTGACCATTTTTATCTAGGAGTGATTGGAACCACTTTTATATTTTCAGCTTTTATTATGCTGTCAGAGCATTAGTTTGTTGGTTAAGGCAAATGATTCCAAAACTATTATTTTGTGATGTTTAGTTTATTGAACTGTTATTAATGTGCAGTGAAATATTCTGACAGACAATATGGATCAAATTGCATTTCAGCCCACTCTATACCTGTTCATGATACACTTAGTGAAAGAATGATTCTTTTTTTTTGTTTTAGAAATACCCATTACATGAAATTAATTCATTAAATGTCAGTACTTAAGAAATGTTTGACTCCTCTCATAAACTAAAAAAAACTGACTTTGGATGGAATAATCAGGGTTTAAAGTTGTTGCTTTTCTTACAAGCAAGATAAAGTGTGGTTGTCAGTAACATGTCCAACATAGCCCACCCACCCCTCCTCAGTGGAAGTTGGCAAGATTTTGAGAATTCTGATCCTTGATCAGAATTTTTCTACATTACAAGCCAAATATTTTAATGTAATTAGCAATAAATTTGTTTGTTTAAAGTGCAAAGCTACACAATGGGCTACCTGCTTTGTGCCTACCACAGGGATGAAACCTGATTTTTGGTGTTTTAAACCATAAAGCTTATCGCTGAACAACCTGGGGGCAGTTAAAAGTTTTGCGATTAATTTATATTTCAACAGATACCTGATAAGCTGTCTTCTCATCATAATGAACAACCTTCAACACAGTATGTGTATTTTTTGAAATGTAGTAAACCAGTTTTTTGATAATTTTTACCACTATATATGAAAATTTTTATCATTGAGAATATATCTTACACCTATTTTTAAGGTATATAGTTTTTTCATCATAATGAACAACCTTCAACACAGTATGTGTATTCTTTGAAACGTAGTAAACCACTTTGTTGATAATCTTTACTACTATATATGAAAATGTTTAACATTGAGAGTATACCTTACACCTATTTTAAGGTGTATATTAACATTATATCATCAAGCTGGAACTCAGACTTGTAAGCATAGACATCATATTATTTCTTCATCTTGTCACAGGAAGTTAAATGAAGTTAAACAGTGCAGTGTTATCTATGAAATGAATAACTTTAGCTAGCTTATTCCATACTGTATGGTGATGATTGTATTATTTGAACAGAAGAAAAAAGGGAACTATTCTCTTAACTTTCTTCTTCCAAAGGTTTAATACATTTGAGCAAAAGGCACCAACTTTCTCCCTGATGAGAATAAAGTTACATATCTACATCATATGAACTCTTTGACCATTTTTGTTGCTAGTTGTTCAGTGTTTAAGTTTTGTTATAGTATTGGCTTCTAGCCACTTCCTAAAACCTACAGAGTACTGATATGATTGTTCATACTGCTTCTTCTGAAATCCTTTTTTTTTCACAATTTAAATAACAGGTTCAATATCATTCTTACATGATACAATCTGATATACAAAGTTATACCATATCACAGTCACAATATGGTACAACTCAAGCTGCTATAACTTACTATTATTTAAGCAGAAGGATGTGAATTGTCAATGAGAATATGCAAAAGGAATGAATGTGAAATTATCACTGCTGTCAACAAAGACATTCATTCCATTCAGTTAAACCATTCCAATGATAGTGTTGAACAGACTGGACATTATCACTGTTGATTTCCTTAGGAATTTATAATGCTTGTTTTTGTCAATTTGCCAATCCATCAGGCATCATATACAGTGTGGAAGAGATTAACAGTTTACTATTGGAACCAATGAGAGTAGTTTGTTTCTGTGTCTGCATCACGTGATGTCTCAAGTTTAGTACCAATTAGTAGAAAAAAAAATTGTCAAATTGTTAGTAACCTATCAATAAATAATTTTCTTCTTGTCACATCCCTACCTTAAAGTACTAACTGCAACTATGTGGTCTTTTAGCTTTTCTGTTCATTTTTCCTAAAATTCAACCCTAGATGTGATAATTGACCCAATAAGCACTGGAATTTTTG